CTTATTTAGTGAGCTGTTGGGGTGTCAGTGTGTCCGTGAATGCTCTATCCATTGAGTATTTCCTCCTTCTTTTCCATTTCAATTTTGCCAAATTGCTATATTGTGTGTTAGACAATCAAATCTTCAGGGAAGGACCCAGGCTAACGTGGTTTTGATTGTTGCGAAGGTCTTGGATGAGGTTGTTAGCTCAGCTGGATGGGGGAAGTTTGCTTTACCTGCACGCACGCTTGCAAGTAAGAGATGGATGCAATCTGTCAAGGGATGTGATGAAAGAAGTCCATAGTTTGGGATATTCTACGCAGCTAACATGCACACAAGACCATGCTCTGAATTGAAACAGTCCTGCGCTGGCTGTGGAGTGATCATGTGGCCTTCTACTTATTTTCCACCTTCAGAGGCTGAGTACGGGCTACAAAACAACACTGGATTTTTGAGGACTTCTGTTGGATCTTTCTAATACTATTTGAAAGTAGTGTTTTGATGGGTTCAGGTTATGGTATGTTCTCCTACATGGCACTCACTTTGTTGTCTGTTAAACTGTAATGTGAAAGTTTGCTAGAAAAGACAGAGAGATCATTTTCCCCCTTGGAGAATTTCAGAGATGCAGTCTTGATTTTTGACATTGGATGCATTGCTTCTCTCCACAGTTAGTCAGTGGAGACTTGAAATGCTGGCAGATCCTACTCAGGTTGTAGAATTCCACCAGAGCAGCATGAGATCCAAAAATCGTTTCCCCGTTCATGCAGCAGATCAGGGGCAGATTCTCTGTACACGGTTTAACTCTACTCCAGTGGAAGTATTTCCTGGGTTTAAGCTTCCTGAGAGCAGAATGAGATCCAATGCCTCCTTGAAAACATAGCAGTGATGAAAGCGGAAAGGTGAATAATGATTTTGTTGTTTCAGACTCTTTGAGTTTCACTAGGAATGTTTTGTGAAAGAGGAAGCCTTTATCACAGATGCACAGATCTTTTTGCATTGTTTTCTTTAGCTGAATTTCTCAGACATAAACGTCTCTCGGCACTTGCACAGAAAAGGTGTAAATTACATTTCACGCTTCTGCCTACGAATTGGGAACCATGTAACCTGCCTGTACTGTTGGTTAAAGAAGCATTAGAAAAGAGGAGTCTGGACTGTAAGGTGTTAGTCTGGACTGGCACCGATTGATGATATGGCTTAGAGTAAATTATCTTACCTCCACACCTTGAATCTTCAATCTAAAATATAAATACCTCACCTCAAAGTATGGTTTTGAAACGTAATTAAAGCTTGTAAGGCATAAATGTATCTTTGGAATGAAAGCGCCATGTATTTTCCAGTAAATAATCCACAACCCTTCAAAAGTACCAACATGTGAAAATAATTCCTTGGATAATAAGTAGCCATCTTCATACAGCCTGCACAAAGGCAAGGAAAGTGTCTGAGTACCAGGGACAATGTATTAGCACTTTATATAAATAGATTTTTTTAAAAATAATTAGTGTCATTTTGGGAAGGATGGGTACTGATGCTTTAAATGCTACGAGTAGAGATGCGTGAGCAATAGAGATCAGTCTTAGAGTGGTACATCGGTTATGTGGATAACTAGAAATTAGTAACTTCTACCATTGAATTATTTTGATCCTCCTTTTCATTTTAGGTTTAGAATGCTACAGAAACTAATTTACCAGCAAGTTGTGGTGTTTTGTTTTGTTTTTTTTTAATTATGGTTCCAGATGTTTACTGAAAGGATACACTGCATCACCCAGTGTCCTTCTTCAGTTGATCCCTTGCATCTGTTTGTCTGCATAACTTAACTAGTGATGTAGTGGTATTGCTGCATCATAATTTAGAGAGTTTGGGGAAACAAAAATAAAAATCAGGAGCAATAACACTGCTGTTGTAAGCTGAAATAATTAGTGAATTCTGAGTGGTGATTTCAATATACAAAGCTGTGGTGTACTTCAGAGAAAAGTTAAGACCTCTTCTGGCACAAATAGTCCTGTTGAAGCCTTTCAATGAGTGGTGGCACGCTGAACAGACCAGACATGATTGAAGTGAATGTCATAGGCAGGAATAGGTACCAAGTTGTCTCTTTGGGGATATTTTCAGAGGACAGCAAAATTCTACTTTTAATTCCTGAAGGGAAGATGTGGAGTGTGTGTGTTGAGGTGGGGATGTTTTTAAATGTGAAGCTTTCAAAGAAAGTGTTCCTGAATAGCACACTGTGACTTACAAACCTGCAAAGGGTTGAGGAAGATGGAGGATGGGTTCGAGTGGGGATGTCAACATATAGAAAGTCTAAGCTATGAGACTTGGCAGTGTATTTCATATATATATATGAGTGCAGGAAAAAAGGAAACTCGGAGAAGGTAAAGAAGGAAAGGTGTGAGACAACGTTTTTAGAGAAGTCATGGGGAAGTGAACAGGATTTTTTAAAGAAGCAATGGGAGTTGTCAGTAAGGCAGAAAGAGAGGGTAGGAGAGGAGGATAAGGTAAGCATCAGCTAACTCTGCCAACAGACCAGGATAATTAGGTAACCATGGAAAGAAGAGTTTGGGCATTGAGGAGCCTGTTGCTCTCTTTTTGCAGTAGAACTGTCAGTGTGTTTGCTTTGAAGTTTTATATGTATATGTATTTAGGCAACATCCATAGCTAACTGACATGTGGCTCTGTGTGTATGCATAAACGTTTCATTTCAGTATAAAACTCTATGGTTTGTATCACAGTAAAGAGAAAATCCCTGGATCTTTCTTGGTCAAAACTCCTGTTTCATTTCTTTTAACGGGACTTTGTAAATGTAGAGAAACTGTACTGTGTAGTGCAATACAAAATCTGTCCCTCTTGAAAGCCTGTTGGAAAAACCATGCCCATTGGAAATGATGTCTTTTTATCCATCTCTTGATACTTAGTAGGTTTATCTGTTGCTTTGAATTTACCTGTTATCTGTGCATTTTAGGTTAGCCATATCCTTGAGCAGACTGCTTTTCTTTTATGACACTGGTATTTTGGCCATCTTAAGGTCATGCTGTTGAAACAAATATAATAAGTTCAGATTTTGGAGTTTTTAACAAGATAACATTCCTCTACAATATCTACAAACCCAAACATCGGAGCATTGAAAGCCTGATAGTGTCCCCTGAGTGAAACAGATTTGATCGATTTCTCATAATCTAGTGCTGGAGGAAAAAGTGTACAAAGTAGTGAAGTATAAGTAGCAAAAAGCAATTTTTAAATTATTTTGGTCATTGAAAGCTGACCCTAGTTGTTATAAAGTAGGTTCTGTAATTTTAGCCATTTGAGGCTGTACTTAAGCACCTAAATATAAATGACCTATTCTTCAGAGGTGCTCAAAAGCAAGGGTGGGTATAACGCAGTGACAGGATTTGATTAGGAGGGTGATGTGCTCTCACCAGCAGGAGAGAGAAGATTATTTTCCCAGAACTAATCTGTGTGGTCTGGAGTGAAGCAAGGTGAGCATCAGGATAGCAGGAAGGGAGGTGTGGATCTGGCTTGGTGCTGATAGGAAGTTGAAATGTACCTCAGCAGCTTAGAAGTAATGTACTTCTGAGACTACATTTCTCTGCTTCAGAATACACTAATATTTTTGGGTGTGAGCGTTTGAAGTTGGGCATGTAAAGTGTATGTGTTGATTCTTAGGCTGAATGATTTTTCTGGTCTCCCTGTAATTTGTTTAAAAATAAAATTCTGTAGGTGTATATGAAGTGATATGGTTTACATTTGTCTTATATGTATTTGTACAATATCTGTATGTTTAAAAATAATACATCCAGAGTAATGATCATCATTCTCTTTTTGGATGTTCCCCATCAGGGGAAGTTACAGTATGAACGATGACTTATAGTAAAGAAAAAGTGAGCAAACTGGCTAGCTGTGGACGTTAAAGAAGCAAGTTCGGGTTGAGGCTGTTGGAGGTTACTGTTCCAACCTGAAAGGACATAATAGCTGTGCAAACAAATGGCATTACACATAAGTCCTAGTAAGTGCCTAGGATGAGGACTGCATTCAGCAGTCCTGCATCCCACAGTGGAGGAGGAAAATGCTGAGGACCTGCTAAGGACAGACTCTTCCTTTGGTGGTGCCTTGGTAGTGCTTCCTCTGCTATTCCTTCAGCTGGGGGGTTGGCTGCCCGAGGCTGAGCAGCACACGGAAACATGCCTGGATAGAAGAGAAGGACTCGGTTGTAGGTTAAAATCTTGTTGGCCAGAGCTGCAGTTTTCAATATACAGCCAAGTTAAAAGGCCCCAGTGAAATCTCTCATCTGTAGTGGCCAGTACCTACGCAGTTCGGTGTCAGTGGCATCAGCGCGCCGTGTTGGATGAGGGGAGGCTTGGCTGTGACCCAGCCGTGTGCTGGAGGCACATGACTGCTGTCAGGCGGGGTGACAGAGGTCATCGGTGGCAAGAGAGAGGGGCTAATTAGTGGTATGGAGCTAATGCCTTTTTAGCCTCTTCTCTTTGCTTTCCTGGTAAATCCACATTTGTAGTTAGTATTTTATTTTGCAGGAGACAGAGGCCAAGAGATGGCTGCTCAGAAAGTAAGCTGGGATGATAAAAAGCTATGACCTGTGTTCTTGCAGTGAAGTGCTTATATTCTGTTTATCTGTAGAGGGTTGTTGTTTCTTATTGTAGACGAAATAGTTACATCTATGCTCATAGCTGGTTTTGACTCTAAGCACATGCATTCCCAGCAGAACGGCGATTACAAAACAAAAGTGATTCGGTTGTACAAGGAATGATATGCAGCAACTGGGTCAGGCAGTGGCTTCCACAAGGCATGTTATCATTGGTTGCTGTTAAATTTTTTGCCATGAAAATAGCATTGGAAATAGCATGGCATTCACAAGAACTGAGGCTGAGATGTTCAAGGTAAGCAGTGTACTACGTGAGCCTCTCTAATGTTTTCTCAATTCATTGAAAAGCTTAAGTTCCACACTTTGCTCCTACATTTTTCTAACTTTTCCTTTAAAAGAAAAAATGTTCCTTTTTTGTTTTTTTTTGTAGTTCCTCCGGGAGTGATACAAAATGGAGCTCGAGTTCTGAGTAGAGGAATATTTCCTGGAGCCAGGCCATTGCCAATCAACCCTATAGGAAGCATGGCTGTTGCAGTAAGGTAAGAGTGGCTCATTGCAGGATCTTTATGAAATAAATCAGTATTTTGCAGAGAATGTAAAAGTGTATGTAAGCTCTGGTCAACAGACACTTTGCTGCGTGCTAATACTTCTGAGGTTCTAAACGAAATAAAACTCTGCCACCTAAAATTCTTGCGTTATCATTCTTGGCAAGATAGCCATAGCATATCTGTCTGTTGCACACTGGTTTGTAAAAAGCAGTTTTATTTTCACTAGCAAATTGCAGGCATTTTATGGTGAGAACCTCCTGCAGTGACCTGTTTTTCTAAGTGCAGATGCTTTTTCCTGTTCCTCCCTCCCTCCCTTTTCCTAAAGACCTTTTGGATTAAATACCAGTGAGAAGAATAACAATAATATTAAAGCAAATTCTGAAAGATATCTAAACGTATAGCTGTCATTGTGTTAATAACTTGGGTCTTTGTGAGGCAGTTTCTTTTACAACAGTTTCTGTTTCAAGGTTATACTGAAACATTCAAGGGTAAAATGTTGTTTGAAGATACTCAACTTTTTCAGAAAGCAGGGCAGTAAGAGACATCTAGTGATGGCAATAAGAACTGTGGTTCAGTCATTTGCTTTAATTAAAGCAGTGATGGTTTATTGGTGGAAGAACAATTTGCCTCAGGTGTAGCTCCATTTTCAGTCAGTCACAACAGAGATTAATTTGGTCAAGTGTGCTGCCAGTGCCCTTCTCTTTCAGAACTCTCAGTATCTGCAAAAGCTATTTCAGCTCAGGCAGTTGGGTGTTCTGGGTGGGGTTTCATAATTAGCGCTGACCCCACTTTGCTGGGCTGTTCCAATTACACCCTCTGATCTCAGTAAAAGGATGCAAGACAGTGAAATAAAGTATCTGGATAGCTGCTTATCCCATTATTGTTTACTTGGGATTTTTTTCCCATTTGCTCTTTTTTTTTTTTTAATCCCTTTTCAGAATCAGTGTCTAGCCCTTTGGGTGTAGTATTTCCATCCAATAAATGGAGAGAGAGAGAGAACCTGTGACATTAATTTACTCTTGATGCTTAAAATGCATAGAGGGGAAGACACTAATTGGAATAAGATCCATATTTTTTGATGGGCAACTGTTTCAGCTGTTTTTCACATTTTCTATGCTGAAGGGATGCAACCCTGAGGGTCATCCTCCAGAAGTCTGCAGAGTTCCTCTCCATCTTGCTGTACCACAGTCTGGCCTTACTAGCAGTGGAGGTCAACCATCTTCAGTAGCTTTGCCGCTGGCTTTAGCCAGGACTTGTATTCTGCTCCAGTGGGGATTGCAGAGCTGTAGGACTATTAGATCATTAATTATATATAGTTTTTATGAGTTGTCCAAGCTAAATGGAGGACATAGTGGTCTGAATATTCTCTCTTGAATTAGAATAGAATAGACTATTTCAGTTAAAAGGGACCTACAATGATCATCTAGTCCAGCTGCCTGACCACTTCAGGGCTGACCAAAAGTTAAAGAATGTTGTTAAGGGCATTGTCCAAATGCCTCTTAAACACTGACAGGCTTGGGGCATAGACCACCTCTCTAGGAAGCCTGTTCCAGGGTTTGACCACCCTCTCAGTAAAGAAATGCTTCCTAATGTCCAGTCTAAACCTCCCCTGATGCAGCTTTGAACGACTCCCACGCATCCTATCACTGGATACCAGGGAGAAGAGATCAGCACCTCCCTCTCCACTTCCCCTCCTCATGAAGCTGTAAGAGAGCAGCGAGGTCACCCCTCAGCCTCCTTTTCTCCAAACTAGACAAACCCGGAGTCCTTAGCTGCTCCTCACAGGACATGCCTTCCAGCCCTTTCACCCGCTTTGTTGCCCTCCTCTGGACGCACTCAAGTACCTTAACATCCTTCTTAAATTGTGGGGCCCAGAACTGCACACAGTACTCAAGGTGAGGCTGCACCAACATTAAATACCGTGGGATAAACACCTCTTTTGACCGGCTGGTTATACCGTGTTTGATGCACCCCAGGATGCAGTTTGCCCTCTTGGCTGCCAGGGCATGCTGCTGACTCATATTGAGCCTGCTGTTGATCAGCACCCCCAGATCCCTTTCTGCAGGGCTGCTCTCCAGCCACTCCT